GAGAGGCCGCATACCACAAAAAAAACCCCACAACATTTTATTTTAGGAAAACATTGCCACAAAACATGGAATTTTCATCATCACAAGTTCTGTTTAGGGACTTCCCTGGCGGTCCAGTGGTTAAGACTCCATGCTTGCACTGCAGGGCACGCGGGTTCAATCCCTGGTTGTGGAACTGTGATCCCACATGCTGCGCGGCATGGCCAAAAAATAAGATTAAATAAATAAATTTTTAAAACTCTGTTTAAATTCTTGCAGTCTTTGAAATCTTTGAGTTGCAAATGTTTGATTCTGTTGTTTTATTGCTATAAACTATGCATGGAAAACAAAATAAAGGGTTCTTTGAACACTTATTATGGGTTTAGTGTATACAAAAAAAGAAAAAAGGGACTTCGCTGGTGGCGCAGTGGTTAAGAATCCGCCTGCCAACGTAGGGGACACGGGTTTGAGCCCTGGTCTGGGAAGATCCCACGTGCTGCGGAGCAACTAAGCCCGTGCGCCACAACTACTGAGCCTGAGCTCTAGAGCCCACAAGCCACAACTACTGAAGCCCGCATGCCTGGGGCCCATGCTCTGCAACAAGAGAAGCCACCGCAATGAGAAGCCCACGCACCACAACGAAGAGTAGCCCCCGCTCGCCGCAACTAGAGAAAGCCCGCGCGCAGCAACGAAGACCCAAAGCAGCCAAAAATAAATAAATTTATTAAAAGAAAAACGAGACTCAAAAAAATAGGCTCATATTCAGGGAAAAAGCCTTGACCCTACATCAGAAGTGAATAGGTATATATTTGTTATAAGTTAGAAGTGTCTGAAGTACATACAAAAATTTTTTCATGATTCTGTAATTAACTTTTTAGATTAACCTACAAATTACTGGTTCTAGTCACATCAGTGACATGGATTTTTCCCTCATAGTGTTTTGGATGGATTATATAAAGCAATTGACATTATGCCTCGCATATTGAGAGCATTTGATCTTCAAACACAGCAGTCCTATAAGGTAGATAGGATATCTTTTTATTGTCCTGATTTTCTATGTGACAGATCAGGTTCTGAAATGTTGTGATGTGTCCAAGATCACAGCAAGTGGCAGAACCAGGAAGAGCCTTAGGCCCCAGGGTCCATGCTCTTTCCACTAGAGCATCCGGTAGGCTGACTCCATTGGGTCTACAGTATAAGACCGCTGAGCTGGAATCCTGTCTGGACTTGTTACCCTTTATGCAAAATGTCTTCATGTAAGGCAATCTGGGGTTCCCAGGGAGTATCATTTAAGTGACTACCACTGTCTCTTTTCCCTCTCTTTAAAAAACTTCCCCACATTCCTGTTTCACCATCTGAATGGTACATATTAACGTGACTTTGTGAATCTTAGAAGAAAAATTTAAATTATTAAATCAGGAAATTGTTCACCTGTCACAAATGAATATGGAAGAGGATAAACGTAAGTCTACTAAGAGATGATGTTTTTTAATTTCAAAATTGCTTTTTTTAATTTTTTCAAACTTATTTTACTGAAGTATAGTTGATTTACAATGTGTTAATTTCTGCTGTACAGCAAAGTGATTCAGTTATACAAATATATGTTCTTTTTCATATTTTCAATTATGGCTTATCACAGAGATAACTTTTTTTAAAAATCTTTGAGTCTTTAATTTCTTTATTTTATTTTTGGCTGCGTTGGGTCTTCGTTGCAATGCATGATCTTATCATTGTGGTGGCTTCTCTTGTTGTGGAGCACCAGCTCTAGGCGCGCGGGCTTCAGTAGTTGTGGCACACGGGCTCAGTAGTTGTGACTCACGGGCTCTAGAGCACAGGCTCAGTAGTTGTGGCGCACGGGCTTAGTTGCTCCGTGGCATGTGGGATCTTCCCGGACCAGGGCTCGAACCTGTGTCTCCTGCATTGGCAGGTGGATTCTTAACCACTGTGCCACCAGGGAAGTCCCAAGACAATTATATTCTATATGTGAAGAATGTGTGCATTCTCAAGGCTTAAAATGGAATTCAATCTGTAAACTATTATAAGAGAAAGTCCCTGTAAATATGGGCAGGAAAAGGATTCTGAATAATTTTTTTCCTCTTTTTGTGTGGATGGTTTTCTGGTTCCTCATTGAAAGAAAAGTGTAATAGATGTATTATTGTATCCAGGAAAAAAGTTGTATGACTGTTTATTTTTAATGTAGTTCTAGAAGATGGAGTAAGAGCTGGCTACTCCCTAAAGACATTTTCTTTTCCTCCTGGTGGATGTATCAAAGCATGGAGTACCGCTAATGATGAAACTAAGCCAAAGCAACAGCCTGGCAGCTGGATGACATGGGGGTGAGAGGGGAGTGAGGGACCCCAAATGGGTTCCCAAGGGCTCCCTCCTTTGGGAATCCTGGAGATGGAGGAAGAGGATCTAGTTGCTTTTCTTCTTCACCTCCAGTTCTCTGGGGAAGGAAATTTGGATATGGAGGTGGCTTTAGTGGCACCCAGGCTTGGCTTTAAGCAAATTGTGAGGTAGGCAGTTTCTCTCAGCTTCTCCTCCTCCTTTAGCAACGATTCCACTCCTCCCACTCCTCTTTATCCCTTCACCTGTGCCGTCCCTCGTGCATCCATCTCAGGAGGTGCACTCGTCTCACTCGGTGTGTGCCTGTCTCTTTAAATTTTCACCCCGATCACAACTGGCCAACACCCTCTGTGGCTTCTCAGCTGCTTTGGGAGTATTGCTAAGAAGCTCCTCCCAGGAAATTTACAGGTTCTTTAAATCTTTTCCCCAGGGCCAGCTTCCTGGGTTTCAAAATCCCCCTTTTCTTTGATAAATGACTACCCAATTAAGAGAGAATTTTGATGGCAACCTTCATGGGGACAACATCTGGACCTGGTGTAGTGAGAAGAAATGTGCTTTGGATTTGCACAGACCTGGATTCCCATCCCAGGTCCTCCAGGCGGGGAGATCTACAACCTTTCTGAGCTAGTTGCCTCATCTACACAAAGGATGATAAAACCTGACTTGCTGAATTACCACTAAGATATTTATGAGAGTGCCCTATATGAGCTCCTCACTCAATGTACTAGTCTCCTTTTCTTTTACAGGGTTATTATGAGCATTATGTGAGGAGATAAATGTGAAAGGGCTTTGCAACCTATAAAGCTCTCTCTACATGTTGGGTTTTTCAAATAATAATATGTTAATAACACTAATAATAAAAGCACCAGTAGGTAAGGGGAAGAGCTAAATATTTTGGTGGAGATTTGTCATTTTTATAATCTATGAATTATAGCAACAGACATCACGACCATATGTCTAAAACAAACATCAGGACCCATGATCTGACAGGTCAAAATGCATTTGTTGGGGCAGAACATTGTAAGTAGGAATTGCACCCCCCAAGTAAAAACCTTCAGATGTGTGGTCTCTGTACATGCAAATGACCATCTTTGATCTAGTGATCCTGGAAATCTACATTGCTGGTTATCAACTCATGATATTTTTCAATTCTGTTTCCAATGGCCAATAATAACAAAGGTAGTAGCGGAGTTTGGCCCCAGGTGTTCTAAGTTTGAATGTTGCTGTTTCCACTTGAGGACCAAGACCTACAAATCTCAGAAGCATTGCAGGGGTTAACAAATTGGCATAGAGTTCTGGAAAAGTTGACCAGGGTAGTTTATTTCTGTTTCAAACGTGAAAATCACCCTCCCTAATATTGTGCTGGTAGGTAAAGGAAAGAACATTGAGCAAGACTGCAGCCCCTAGAAGAGTAACAAGCCTGCCGGAAATAATGGAATGTGCATATTGGCAATTAATTTCTGTTCATGAAACTCTCTGCTGCAGATGCATGGGAGTTCAGTATGAAGAGTGAACAAGACTGCTTTTGTGTAAGATCCCTTAGCTGCTGGGACCATGGGAGTGCCTTTTTTCCACAGGCCTTTTCATGAGGATTTTGCTCTTTATAACCTGTTATTAGGTTTCCGTTTGTGCTGCTGTCATTAATAGAATTTACATAGATCTTTCGGAATTTAAAAAGAAGTTTCAGATCAGCTTGGTGCTTTGTGACCACCTAGAGGGGTGGGATAGGGAGGGTGGGAGGGAGACGCAAGAGGGAGGGGATATGGGGTTATATGTATATGTGTAGCTGATTCACTTTGTTATACAGCAGAAACAAACACAACATTGTAAAGCAATTATACTCCAATAAAGATGTTTAAAAAAAAAGCTTCACATCAAAATATCTTGTTTTTTTACTTGTATTAATTTATTCACAATTATTTACTGCATTTGTTTTTGAATTTTATTTATTTTTTATACAGCAGGTTCTTATTAGTTGTCTATTTTATACATATTAGTGTATATATGTCAATCCCAATCTCCCAATTCATCCCACCACCACCCCCACTCCCAGCACTTTCCAAAATATCATGTTTCCTTGACAGTCCTCCCGTTGGTCTTTACAATAACATTTAAACATTTTTTTAATTTAATTTTTATTTTATATTGGAGTATAGTTGATTTACAATGTTGTGTTAGTGTCAGGTGTACAACAAAGGCAATAACTTTTTAAAAGTATTATTACACAAATAAAGAAATGGTGGCTTAATAGTGAAGTAATCCCCAAAGTAAAATTACTAGCACTCCAATCCTCCGCTTTCTTCAGACAGAAAAATCGAGAGTAAGATCCTGGGATGATTACATGCAGTGATGTACCTGATAACTCTTGTTTCAAATATTGATCTGGAAGAAGAAAGCAAAAATGAGAGAGAGAGAGAGAGAGAGAGAGAGACGGAGGGAGGGAGGGAGAGAGAGAGAGAGAAAGCGTGCATGCGTGTGCGTGTGTTTAAGTCTCTGGTGTTTCGCCCATCCTTTCAGCTAAGCGAGGGCCAGACCTGGACCGCGGAGGAGCCTAGCGAGGGCCCCCAAAGGTCTCGCAAACTCCGCCCCGGAAGGCCCGGCTCTTCCTGGGGGCCCCTTCACTCTAGTCCAGCGGCGCCACGCCCCTCAGCCCGTAGCTAGCTCTGCCTCCCCGCGGCCCCGCCCCTCCCGCGGCCCCCGCCCCTTCTGCGGCCCCCGCCCCTCCCCACCTTCCCTTAACCTAGGGCACGACAGTGCGCCCGTGCCCCATGTTCCTCCGAGCGGGTACGGCCGGGCTCTCTCCGCTTCGCCACACTCTCCGGCCTGTTCTGGTCGCCGCCATGAGCACTGGCACCTTCATCGTGTCTCAGCCGCTCAATTACCGCGGCGGGGCCCGCGTGGATCCGGTGGACGCCTCCGGCACCGAGAAGGCGTTAGAGCCAGCAACCGGTAACGGGACGGAGACCGGGCGGCAGGGCCGGGGCGGCGGGGCGGGGAACGAGGCGGAGACCGGGGTAGGGGCGAGGGTCGGGCGCGGATTGACTCTCCCCCGCCCCAGGGATGAGCCTAGTCTACCTCACTGAACCTTCATGTAGTGCATTCAGCAGACGTTTACTGAGCACAGGTAAGTGACAGTGTAGAGTATAAAGTTGTATGTGTAGGCAGCTAACGGTGCTGTGCAAACTCGAAAGCATGTGGACCGGACACGAAGGGGGTCGTAGGAAATTGGACAGGCTGGTGAGTTGCTCGATGGGGTCATGGGTAGTTTTACAACGGCCTGAACAGAGAGTCCACAAAGCCCCCGGTGGGTGAGGTGGAGTCTTCGTTAATTATTAAATTTTAAGGTTAGGACTGCAGTAATGTCTTCAACCGTGCACGTAGCAGAGGAGTTCTAGAAGGACGGGGTGAAAAGAAACACTTGTGCGAAAATGGAGGAACGCGCACAGAGGTTTCTAGTTAGCGTGAATGAGGACCTTGTTGCCGTCCCCTAGTGTTAAAATATTTCCGAACATGAACCAGAACTGGGAAAGGGAAAAAAAAATCCTGCGTTTATCCCGTGTTTAATGTGTGCCCAGCACTGTGCCAGGCCCTCAGTTTGCCCTGGGAGCTCCACAGATCACAAAGCAAATGAGGAACAGGTTTTTAGTTTTGGTTTTGCTTTGTGTTTGTTTTGCTGGGTGTTATGGAATATTTGTGAGGAGAGAAGTGTAAATGTTTGTGCAAACCAAGTGGTATGTAGCCAGAGGGATAAAACTGGATTTCAAGAGACTGGAGAATTTACATTTGATCAATAACACCAAACCACAGAGCAGCGATTTGTCAGAGCAGGAAGGGGCCACAGACACCATCAGGCTCTTCCTTAGGTAGGAGGAAACAGCCTCTTGACCCCCACCCCCATAATGATACAAAAGAAAGAAAAATTGCTCTTTATTTTAATTGCCTACAGTGTGTGTGATCTGTAAGCACTGCCTTTACCAGTTGGCTACTTAAATTTGTAACAAATAGTAGGTTTGTGAAATCTCTGGAAAAAGCAGGAGTCCCAGGTGTTCTTGTGGGAGGGGAAAAGAAACTGCTGACTTTGACATTTTAGAGAATTCTTTTTAGTAGAGTCAGTCACAACCCTTGGGATTTGGGTCTAGAAAAACTGATCATTTCATATTTTGCCCAGGATAGGGAATAAGACTGAGATAAGAAAATGAGGGACTGTTTGTTTGTCTTTTCCCCATATTTGAGAAAAAATTTTTCTTGCTTTTAAGAATATCTTTTCTTGATATTCTGTTTATTAACCATATTCATCAAGTATCAGTATTATATGACTTGTATAGAACATAAACCAGTGATTTAAAGTCAGAGTTCATACCCCAGGAGACGGAGTACTTTGATTTTGTAAGACCTCTGGGATTCTCAAACATTGTTAAGGAGCATTGTGAAATAATTGATTGGAGGTTAATGTTAGTAAACCCAAATGTAAAATAGAGGAGGGCAGGGGTTCTTACCCTGAAGTTCATGGTGTGCTAGGCAAGGGACATGTTCTCTCTATAATTCTGTGATACGGTTCAGTAGATTTTTCTGGACAGAAGTCTGCAATTTTTATTAGATTCTTAAAAAGGTCAGCTGCTGGTATAAGGGTAGTCACTAAATCAAACCATACTTTAAAACAAGAAGAGGATCAATAAAAGGAAAATTGGATACACAATACTTTATTTAAAATGTGTGGCAACCAATTGAGATAAAACTGACTTTCTCTGTATTTATAGGGCGAGTGATAGCTACTTTCACGTGTTCAGGAGAAAAGGAAGTAAATTTAGCTGTTCAAGATGCAAAGGCTGCCTTTAAACTATGGAGTCAAAAATCTGGCATGGAACGTTGCCGAATCCTTTTGGAGGCTGCCAGGATAATAAGGGTATGTTTTAATTTAATGTCTTCCAGAAAAGTCCTCTTGCATTGTTCTGTGAGTTCTTTATGATGATTTGCAGTTAGACCTTGATGCGCTATTAGGTGATACCTTTTTGATGAAGTAGGAAGACATTTCCATATGCTCACCTTGGTATGTACAACAAGCTTTCCATCAGTGATTTCATTCTGGTTCTTGGCTCCTTGTGACATCTCCCTCGGCAGGTTTTCTTTTCCGTCT